TATAAATATATTTATAAAATTGTTATGACTTTAAATGCATTTTATTATTTATTTTAAATATGAAATCTAAGCACACTAAACTGAAATGAGCGGCAGATGAATGAAGATTTGTCGTGGTGTGTCCTGAGTGATTGAGTGGTTGTTGATGGCCTCTCTGTCTCTCTCTGTCCAGCGCTGATAGCCATCGGTCAGTACAGCAGCAGCATTGAGACGGTGGACGCCGGCTGGTGTAAGGAGATCACGGATCAGGGAGCCACTCAGATCGCCAGGAGCAGCAAGTCTCTGCGGTACCTGGGCCTGATGCGCTGTGACAAGGTGAGTTCGTCCACAGACAGCTGGGTGAGTGGCTCTAACAGATGCTCGATAGGATGCCCGCTGAATGTGCTGCTTTAGCAAATCGCGCTGCTGTTCAATGCATCTTTAAAGTAGATCTTCACTTAACAGCATGAAGAGCAAATATTGACACGGACTGAGATCGATTTAAACTCTCTTCGATACAGACGCACTCTGTGCGTGCTATTGTTTTCATGTTTAAGATGCGTTTCAAATTTCCCTGAATATCCAAACGATGGCAAATGTGCCATTCATTTTTACAACATTGAGTGAACATTTTACATTTTAAATGTAGCCTATATTTTAAACATAATATTGTCATGTTTGTTCTATTTTGCAACGAAATAATAGTTCCAACGAAATCCGTCTCATCTGGTGTGCGTCTCCAAGCAACATACAGCGGTGTTTCGTTAGTGAACGAATCTGCGGCTTTGAACGATTTGGAGAGTCAGTGATTAATAACCTATTCATAACTACAGCATTTTGCTTCTTTACTAAATGAATGAATGACGCGACGCCTGGCTCATTAAGACAGCGACTTGTCGCCACCTACTGGCGGTTTTATTTTTAAATCTACAGGTATCACTTCGATTTGCCATCATTTATTGCTTTATTTATTACATCACGCCCCGCGTCTAGGGAATGAAAGGGGCATAATGATGATAGTGTTGGTGCTGGATTCCCAACAAGTTGGTCGGGGACCAAACAATCACACCATTCACAGGAACCAGAAACGATTAGATTTATTAAAGTTATAAGTGAAACGTGAAGAGCATCTCTTCGGGGTGGCCACAGGCCAACATAACAAACAAAAAGGAGACTAGAACAAAAAAAAAGAGAAATTAAATAACCTAGACAATTTATAAAACAAGAATACAGCCAGCTTACCTAACTTCCTAACCAAAAATAGAACGACCAATTATGCGTCGACACCACAGCATCATGCAACCTATGAGAGAGCAGACCAAAGAGGAGAGCGAGAGAGAAAGAGAGAAACCGAGCAATACAAGACAACAAAAATAATTATCAAAGAAACAGTCGTAACAATTATATTAATAATACACTTAAGGGAATGTTAAGAATATGACATAAAACATGACATACAGTTAATAAGGATAGAGAATCTTTGCCTCTATAAAGGTAAAAAAATGCACCTGTAAATCAATTTAAGAGGGCAAATTGTCCTTTAATAGAAAAGGTGTGACTGCGGTCTAAGTGGAAGAGCGGGGGTACGCAGAAGAATGTTAAATGCCCAGGGGGTATTTAACAGGGGGTAAAAAGTTTGAGAACCATAAAATCAGAAGTCGTTCAACCTCTAATTCACAGACAGCTGCGGTTGAGTGTGCGGCTCTAACAGAAGAGCCGTTTCCTCGGGGTCACGGGGTCACCAGTTAAGCACCTGGCAGACTGAAGCGGGCCCCGTGTTCAGCCGACAGCGTCTCACCTTCATACGGCTCACGTCTGGATCTCTCACCTCCAAATCACAGATTCCCAAGCTTTTTTGTCAGCTGAACCCCCTGAGATTTTAAGTTAATATTTCAATAATTTAATAATAGTTTGTTTTTTATTTAATTTTTTCATTATTGTATTCACTATTGTACTTTTTTATTATTTATTATTTTAGTGTTTTTTACTGTTTTTATTTTAAAATTATTTATTTTAATTTTATTTTTATGATTTAAGTTTATTGTTTCATTTTGATTATTTTTGTTTTAATTAAAAAAAAATGTATATACTTTTTTGTGTTTTATTTAGCATTTTTATTTTAAAAATATTTGAATGTTACATTTTTATGATTTGATTAATTTTTGACTTATTTTTTTATTAAATTACTTTTATTTTTATTTTTTTTACATTTTAATTTGATTCATTTTTAAGTGTTTTATTTAGTTTTTTTATTATTATTTTTAAATGTATTTTTATTATTTAATCTTTAGTGTTTTATTTTGATTGTTTTAATTTTTTTATTATTTATTTTATGTTTTTCATAATTTAAGTTTTGTTTAATTTGAATTGTTTTTATTTTTATGAATTAATCTATTTTTGTGTTTTAATTAGCATTTTATTTTAAATTGTTTCAATTTTTTTTGTTGATTTTTTTTTATTTTACAATTATTTTTCATTTTACATTTTTATGATTTTATTCAGTTTTTGTAAGTGTTTTATTCTGATGTAATTTTGATTCATTTTCATTTTAATTTGACATTTTTATGACTTAATACATTAAAATCAGAAGACAGCACTGCAACTATCCCATGTCTCAGGATCCAGAAGTATGTCATCTCATATATTTCAGTATGACTTTGTCATTTTATATATTTAAGGCGATGGAGTGTGACGTTGCGTTGAGTGAGAGAGCGCTCTTGTGTTTCGGGTCAGCGCCGTTTACAAAGCCACAAACCCGTGACAAATTCAATTTCTGCCTAAATCACTGTATCATCTAGCTAATGCTCTGTTTTTATAATGTGTAGATGTGACGGATTGCCCGTCTGTCTCAGTTTTTGCTTCCTAGAAGGCAAAGTCTATTATAACAGACATATATATATTCCCTTTCATGTGACGCTTTTCCATTTCAAACCCACGCTAAAAGTTTGCAATTGAGTGGAGTTTGTG